AAATGGGTGTTCATGATCAAGACCCTAGAAAACAACAAAGTACTGTACAAAGCGAGGCTAGTCGCACAAGGCTTCGCCCAGAGGTACCCAGAGGACTACACAGACACCTACTTGCCCACGGTCAGAGCTGAGAGCGTCAAGAGTGCCCTAGTAATAGCCACCATCCTGGGACTAGAAGTATTTCAATTCGATGTGCAAACTGCATATTTTCATGCAGAATTGGACAAGGAAATTTATGTCAAAGCCCCACCAGGATACAACGAAGGAAAGAACAACACATGGATCCTGAATAAAAGCTTATATGGACTCAAACAGTCAGGTAAAAGGTGGTACGATTGTCTAGCCAAAGCCCTCAACTCTATGGGCTTCACCGCCACTTCAGCAGATAAATGCTTCTTCATAAAGAGAGAAAATGAATCATTTGAAGGTATCCTTGTCTACGTGGACGACATATTATATATAGGGAAGCAAAAGACCAAATGTGACAAGTTTGCCGCTGAATTAAGGAATCATTTCTCATTAAAATCACTAGGGAAAATAGACAAATACTTAGGGGTTCAAGTGACCAAAATTGACAAAGGTTTCCGACTCTCACAAAAGGAAAAAAATCATAGAACTATTATCAAAATGTAATATGTCAGAGGCAAAACCCAGCGAGACTCCCATGCAATCAGATTGTTCTAAAAAATATGTATAATGAAGCTGAACCCTTCATTGATAACAAACTATACAGGTCTACCATAGGGTCACTACTGTACATAGCCAATTGGACAAGACCAGACATTGCTTTAGCTGTCAACTTACTATCCAGACACGTGAGTAAGCCTACAACTCTACACTGGGATGCCATCAAAAGGTTACTCAGGTACCTAAAATACAGTATCAATGCCCATTTATGCCTTGAACCAGACCTATCAACGAAACCAAAGTTAACTTGCTATGCAGACGCTGACTGGGCGGGAGATATCAAAAGTAGGAAAAGCACTTCTGGGTACGTACTTTTCCTCAACAACAGCCCTATACATTGGTACACAGGAAAACAAAAATTAGTAGCCACCTCTACCACCGAGGCAGAATTCGTCTGCTTGTCTAAGGCCGCAAATAACCTGATATGGTTGGATGACTTACTCAGTGACATTTGGACTGAACCATCATACCCAATAATTATTCATGAGGACAATAAAGCAGCAATTGAAATATCAAAGGCCGATGCCGTTGGTCAACGGTCAAGGCATATCGACATTAAGTGTAAGCATGTTAGACAATTCTCAGAGATTGGATTTATTAAGGCTATACACTGTGACACAGAAGAGCAAACAGCAGATATACTTACCAAACCTTTACCTCACAAACAATACGCATACCTCATGTCGAAAATATGTGTCTATATGTAAATCATGTAATTTTATGTATGTTAATATGTGTGTATGTAAAAACCATGTACCTGCCATCAGTTAGACATTTAGAGGGGGTTTTGTCAAGTTAAATGTCTAACCCATTCGTACCACAATCTCTCACAATCCTGCAAGGGTTAACATAACCACATATCCTATCACTCCCACAATCCCACCTTACCTCTAACTCCTCCCCCTGGATATAAGAGGTCTCACCACGAGGCCATCCAGCAGTTCCAGATGTGTATCTGCAAGAGAAGGACAAAAGGTCAGTTGCTGTTAGATGAATGGGCCTAGGAACAATCCAGGCCTGCAATAAAAGAATTCCTAGAAGACATTACTCTGTCTCGTGAGTTATTGGGTTAGATCCATCACTATATCAGTTTGGTGTGACCATTTTTTCACATTATAAAGCCAAACAAAAATGAAAACAGATGCGTTAAGCCCCAATGCAATCATCCAGATAGTCCTTGATTTAAGACTACATTTGGGATCAGATTTTCCATTGGTAAGTAAGGCACTTGTTAAGTGAGTTTTACTGGAGATGCAAACAGCTTGTAAACTATAGCTATACATGATATAGAACAGTTTTTCCCAACCTTGGCAGGTGGAAAGTGTGGGGAATTCTGGGAAATGAAGCTGGAACAGAAACAAGAAAAGTACTATACTGTACCTTATTACTGTTTGCAATGGGAGCACGCGCACTTCTGCGTATGCACAGATCACCCGCACTGATGATGATTGTTGGTGGGTGGGCGGAGCCTCCCGCCGATTTTACTACCGGTTCTATAGAACTGGACAGGACCGGGAGCAACCCACCACTGGATAGGACTTATTAATATGATGGCAAAATTCATGGTGTAATATCTGATCACCTCATGGATGAGTTGATAACAAATCAATTGCAATAACTCTCAGTCAGAATTCTCCAATGGTGGTAGGCAGTGGTGGGATTCAATATTTTTAACAACCGGTTCTGTGGGCGTGGCTTAGTTGGGGGTGTGTGGCTTGGTGGTCATGTGACTTGGTGGGCGTGGCTAGCTGGTCATGTGACCGGGTGGGCGTCATTTCTGACTGGTCCTCGCACTTATGACCATCCTCACATTTATGCCCATTGCGGCATTCTTAACAACCGTGTCAGTCATTTCACCACTACTTCTCTTCACCATGGTGACAAGATAGGGCGTAAACGTAAAATGTGAGGACAGTCGTAAGTTCAAGGACTGGTCAAAAGTGCGAGGACCAGTCAAAAATAACTTTTTCAGCCTTCTGACTAGTCCATATGCACATAGGGACTATTCAGAGGGCTGAAAAAAGTCATTTCTGACTGGTCCTCACATTTTTGACCGGTCCTCGCACTTATGACCTTCCTCACATTTATGCCCGTTGCGGCATTCTTAACAACTGTGTCAGTCATTTCACCACTACTTGTCTTCACCACAGTGACAAGATAGGGTGCAAAACATAAAATGTGAGTACAGTCATAAGTGCGAGGACTGGTCAAAAGTGCGAGGACCGGTCAAAAATAACTTTTTCAGCCCTCTGAGTAATCCATATGCACAAAAGGATACAGCAATAGAGAGGGATGAAGGAAGGAGAAGAGAGATGGAAGAAAGAAGGAGAGACAGGGAAGGAAGGAAGAAGGGAGGAAGGGAAGGGAAATTAGAGTAAGAGTGAGGGTAAGAGAGGGAGGAAGAGAGGAGGAGAAGAAGAGGGGGGGGAAGAGAAAGTAAGAAGGAAAGAAAAGAGAGAGGTGGTAGGTTTGAGGAGAAAGATTGCTGTACAGTAAAAAAGATGAAATGGAAGAAAGGCAACCCCAAACAAATATAAAGATATTATGATAAAGAATGAATTGTTAAACTTTAAAGAATAAAAGAGAATAAATATGAATAAATAGCAGTAATTAGAAACACACATACAAACATACAATGTATTTTCTTTGAACAGAGTATTTGGCCAGTTCACAAATTTAAACAGTGTTTAGTCATTTCAATTAAATTTACAATTTCTATATTTCCTTTTTGCCATATTTATTCCTTATCTATTTTTTTAAAAAAAAACATATTACCCTTCATCCTCATCTCTAATCTTAATCAAATTCAATTTTTCCCTTCTATTCTATATTATACCCCTTCTCATTGTCATCTATTTTTATATCCATCCTCACATTGGTTAATTATGTAATATTACAGTTGTTTAATATAAATTCAACTTTTTAATATAAATCAATTAGTTATATAACTATCTTTTTTGTATATTAATCAATATGAACATGAATATTCCAATTATTTCCATGCAATCCAATTACTTACAAATCAATTAATTATATTTACCAATAATAATAAACCAAATAATTTCCCCCATATATTCCTCCAAACCACAATTTAACCATTTCTGCTTTCAACACAATATACAATTAAGTATCTCAATTATTACAATTCCCTATTTAAATAGAGCTTTTTTTCTTTTGTGTTTTAAAATCTTGAACTCTCCTCTTTTTCCCTAAAGAGGAACTACCTCTTTAGGGAAAACTACCTTTCCACTAAAGGTAGTTTGCACCTACCTTTTTTGGTGAGGAAAAAAGAAAGAAATCTGCCTGCCTAATTTTCCAACGTTGCAGCAACAGTAAAGCAGGCTTTTACTTTCAGTTTCGTTTTTCAGCATAGATAGGGGAAAAAAATCTGCACTCTTTGCAAGCAAGCAGTAGAGCCCTGAGCAAAACAGCTGAGAGCAAATCAGCTGAGAGTCGGGAGGCCGATAGAATCAAGGGGCTAATTAGCCTATGTTGAAGCTCTGCGGGCCAATAAAATTACAAAAAAAACACCGAACCGTTTGTTAAATTGCTGGCTCCCCGCCCCTCGCCTCGCCCACCACTATTTATTGGTAATAAATAGTGGTGCGGAGGGGCGGGGCAAGGGGCAGGGTGAGCCAGCAATTTAACAAAGGGTTCAGCCGAACCCCCTAGAACCGGCAGAATCCCACCACTGGTGGTAGGGTAATTTCTGGCTAATTTCATTCCTCACATCTTCAGCCCTTATGACTTCTCCCCACTTTCGCAGCTCTACCATCCAATCATTCTGTGAAAGGAACATTTTCAACCTTCAACAGATTATCTGTTTTCTGCAAGGCTGCTGTCAATTCCAAGAGAGATTCACCAGACAGGTGAGTCAAACAGTAATTAATGTCAATTTTATTTGCCTTCCTTGTAAATCAGATTCATTTAACTACAAACTACTTTGCATGGTTCCCTCCAATTTAATATTGATTTGAGCAAATATATCAGATGCCATCATTAAGCAATCCTGTGGACCAACTGTACATTGTGTAATATCTAAATCTCATTAGTTTATGGTTATCTATCATGGTTCAGATGGTTGATTGCTCAACTTCTCTCTTGGACAGTTGCCTCTTGGATTGCTAGCATTTTTATTTCTGATCACATAGTTGGGAAATAAACTGCTAAATCATTTCATTCAAACTTGTGGTTTCATTGCCAAAAAAAAATTAGACTGTGTCATGATTAAGGCTTCCCTTTTATTTTTCCAAGTAATAACCCCAGTCCTCTGGGTATACATGATGATTCCACAGAAATTCATTGGAGAATTTGTTTTGATCTCTGTATCTATATAAAGGAGGAGGAACACTGATAAAAATAGAGGGAGAAGAATTCTCCTTTCTCTTCCTTCTTGATCAGACCAAGGCTGATATCCTGGGCTGAAGGTAAGCAAGACTTCTTTACATCAACCTTAGGTGACTTCTAGGCTGCTCCAGCAAACTAAACAAGAAATGATACTTGAGTTATCTCAATTAAGCTTTAGGTTTTTCCCCTTATCACCTTGCAGTCTTCAATAGTTCCTCTTTGGATCTAGAATTTTAGAAAAAAAAATTATTGGCAATGAAGAACAGGAGAACACTCCACCTTACCAAATGAGGCTCTGCTCCAAGTTTTTCATCTATGTGTCTATTGAAGTATCTATATAGGGAAGGATGGAGACTGGATCTGATCAGTTGAGGTTTTAGAAAATTGAAAATTCTATTCCAAAGGATTTGACGACATAAGTAAACTTTGCTGCCTGATTTTTTTTACTTCACAATTTAGAGAAATCAGAAATCTAGGGGTAACTAGGGGTAATCAGAAATCTATGAGTTTCAACTGCTTTGAAACTCATCAGATTTGGTATTCAATGCATTTTGATGCAAAAAGTTTTGTCCCAGTACTTGTTGTTTGGTATTCAATGCACATGCTAGAACCTGTTGGTATTGGCTGCCTTGTAACTCATCACGTTGTTCCTTATGGGGAAAAAATGTTCAGTACTCATCATTTTTGGTAATCGTTGTGCCTCCCAGAACCAATTAATGATGAACACCAAGGTACCACTGTAGATCTTGCCTGGTTCCATTTGTCTGATTTTATTTATGTCACCCTTTTTTTCTCCAAAAAGCACAAAGCAGAACTCATTTCCTTCCATTTTTAGCAGTGCTGTCAGTCTAAGAAATATAGACTAATGTAGAGTCAACTTTTGAATTTTAAAACTGTGGGCTGGTGGGAATTCTAAAAATGAAGAAGGGTATTTTTCCTTTAGTATGTAAACTTCTACATGTGTTTCTTTGTACTGCTTCCATTAGTATGAATGTGTGTCATTCAACATATATGTTTGCTTTATAATGTGCTGAGGTTTTTTAAAATTTTGTGAGTGTGTGCTTACATTTTGCATGGGTTCTTGAACAACTGTGAGGGCTGAGTCCAGTGTTTCCCCCCCAAACACATCTGATTTTCTTGCATGAAATCAATCGATACTACAGCTATGTGAAGCTTCAGTTTGAAGGTAATGCAACCAAATTGGCCCTTTGATTTAAATAGATGAACCAAATTGCTGGATCAATTCAATGCTTCAGATCAAATCAAATGCACTCAACTGAGTTCAAAAATTTCATGGACTTTTGTGCATGCCTGACATGCATACTGAATTGATTTATCTCTTGAAACTGAAGCACAAATTTGAATCAGATACTACCTGTTTTATAACTCCACAATGAATACAGTGTAGATCTGAAAATTCAATACTGTATGGAGTTTGGGGATTAATTTCCAACTTTGCTACTTATTTAAGCTATTTAAGCTTTTTAAAAACAGCTCACTGCTTTGCTTTTGATAGAAAAAAAGCATTTGGGGCCCAATAACATCCTATAAGCATCCATGAGGACTATGATGTTATAACACATTTTGACATTTTGTCAAAAACTCCAATTGTCAAGGATGGCCATGCACCCATCAGGGCAGCCATTTTGTGAGAGCAGCTGCTGCATGTTCTCTACAGATGAAATATACCCCTGGATTTTACTTATTTGGCCTTAAAGCCCTACCCATATCTGCTCATAGATTCAATGGGACATTTTGTCAGCTTAATGCAGACAGGAGTGGAGCCTAGAGAGCAATTTTACCCTACTTCACCCAGCCTTACTCAGATTCAGGTTCTCTCAAAAGCCTCATGAGGGCTAGTCCCTTAACTAAAGGCTGCAACACTGAGGCACTTTCATACATTTATTGGCACTGACCAAAGTTGGGCTGTTTATTTCATCTGGTGTGAGTTATAACAAATAATCACACAAAGATAGGTGGGAACATTTCAAAAAAATTATTTCTGCACAGAGTTAAAGAATTTATGCTCAGAACTAATGTCTTAAAGCAAGCGCACCAAATCTCCTCACAACAGGTATTTCATGCAGTTCATACAATACATCAGCTATTCTGATTGGCTGGCTAAATTCACCTCACCAGCTACCTTAACTTTTGGTGGGCTTTTTACTCTCCGGGTAGATTTGCCTAACACCCTCAAGGGGGCGCCTAATAACACACTGTATGTAACCCTTTTCCTTCTAGAAACTTCTAGTATCTCTTGTGTTGCCATCCTATTGATACCAGTGTCAACATATTGAACCAAATATTCAAAAAATAAAGACTATTTTTGGTGTGCCTTTAAGTATCATCGACTGATTATTGATTTGCCATCAAATTGGTGCCATTTCTTAATGATCACTTTGATCTTCTCTGGTCTTCCATGGGTGTCCCATGGTCACTTTGCCGCGGTTCATCCTTTTTCCTTCCATCTTTCCCAGCAACAGAGCCTCCTCCAGAGAGTTGGATCATTGCATAATGTGCCCCAGAACCATCTTCATTAATAATAGTTATACTTGGAAGCGATATCTTCAATCCACTCATGACTCCTGATGAGGGGTTTGTCCTGCCTTCTCATGGGAGGCTGAGAAGGGAATGGACTGAAAGTCACCAACTGCTTGATATAATAGAGAACTAGAATTCCCAGCCTCCCATTTCCTGGTCTGGTGCCTTTTATTGATACACCAAACTGGCTGTCAATCATGGTGCTCCTAATTATCATAGTTTCAATTTCTTTTAATTTCATGCCAGTTACAATGATGTCTGCATGGTGACAGCTGGGCTTGGTGTCCCCAGTGGATCTGGGGGTGCAGAGGAAAAAAAAAATCCTTAATCTCTTCTCCTTTTGTAGGTATGGCACTGAGGAGACTTCTGTTCCTTTTGGCAGGTTTGGCACAAATATGTGGTGAGTAAACTGGACTGTTTTTTGATATATACTTCTGTTGTTTCAAATGGGTGTAAGCCACTTCATGAATGAAGGCCTGGTGAGCCTGGAGCAGGTTCTGTTAGGCTGCAGAGGCCTCTCCACAGAAAGAAAACACCACTTTAAAAACACCACAGGTAAGCTCCCCCTGAGCTGTGGGGGAAATTGCACTGTTCCTTAAGGCAGCCTTTTTTGAGGGGTAGTTAGAGCGAAATGGGCTTTTTAAAAGCCAACTGGACTTTCTTGGGGTATTTTTCTCCAGTTTTTCTCCGAATGCCATCATTCTGCTTAACAACTAATTCCCAAAATACTGTCAAATAATTTACTAAGACTGTATTACTATTCTTCTTCTTCTCTTTACTAGTATCTATCTATTCCCACTTATTATATAACCATGTCGCTTGTATCTTTCAATTTACACCTAAGACAAATTCCTGGTGTGTCCAATAACACTTGGCCAATAAAGAATTCTATTCTATTCTATTCTATTCTATTCTATTCTATTCTATTCTATTCTATTCTATTCTATTCTATTCTATTCTATTCTATTCTATTCTATTCTATTCTATTCTAAATGTTTAGCTAGTGCTAATGACCAGATGACTGTAAACAGTATAAATCCTTCTATTCCCCACCATTCAGTCAGAACTGAAGAAGCTTCTTGGATGAGAAGTGAAATGTTTTCAAGGAAAAAAACACACCAAAGTCCAGTTGCCTTTGAAATGCACATTTGGAATAACCATGATCGGGATAACTGAGAATCTTCATAGACACTAGAATTGAAATTGAGGCCCAGATCTCTACTTCAGGCCCAGCCTTGGCCCTGCCTCCGAGTACCCCTATTTAGGCTAGTCTAGATGGGGGTGTGGGGCAGGGGTAAAATGCTACCGGTTCGCACTGGTTTAGGTGAACTGGTAGTGGCGGTGGCATGTGGTTTGGTGAAGCGAGGCTCCACTCACCCACCCGGATGTTGTTACTCCCTGGTTTTAACCAGGGAGTAATATGTTTTTGACTCTCTGCACATGCGCAGAAGGCTTTGCGCATGCACAGAGGGTCCAAAATCACATGTGATATGCACGCGGAGCGTGCACTTCCAAACTGGTAGGGAAGGTATGTAGATTTCACCCCGGTGTAGGTGGGGTAGAAAATTGTCTCTGTTGTTTGGAGGAGGGTATGACACCTGCAGAGTCAAGTTAGGCATTTTTCAAACTTTTGACAGGTTTGCCATCAGTCCCCTAGCATTTAAATGTACTTGATCAGGAAAAATTATAACCCCTTCTTATCTATTGGGTAAATAGTTGCTGTGGTTCTTTTTGATGGCCAAATGTTGCCTTTAGGTTTGTGCCTTAATTAAATACTGAGACTGGAGGACCATTTAAGTCATAATTTATTTTGAATGTTCCAAGATAAAAAGGATTCTTTTTTTTTTTTTACAAAAGAGAGAATGTGGAACATAGACTTACATTTTTTTTATGGTTTTCACAACAAAGATACTTCAAAAGTAAAAGTTGATTGGATTAGGAAAAGTCATCTGTCCAGTTACATCCTGAAAAATTAGACATCTAATAATATGTAAGCATAAGGATTTGTAAAAAAGCATTTGCAAGGGGAAAAAAATGTCAGAATGGGTATTGGTAAATTATACATTCACCGAACTTTTCCAAGTTCCAACAACTTGCTTTGTGAGTTTAAGTTTGGGAACAACAGAAAACAAAAGTATTTTTTTTTACAATGTATCAAACAATTTGGACAGTCCTAGTTTCTAAAGGAAAGGGATTTTAAAAACCTTTTTCTTGAAGGTTAAGTCTTATGACAAATTATTAGCAATACACTTGAAAGGGAAAGAGAAATAAGGCTAATTAAAATACAAGAAAACCCATGATAGTTCATTCTCTCTCTCTTTATATATGTATGTATGTATTTTTGTGTGTGTGTGTATACATACACATACTTGCAAGAGAGAGAGAGAGAGAGAGAGAGAGAGAGAGAGAGATATTTGTAGTAACATTACTACAAATCTCTCTCTCTCTCTTGCAATATTACAAATTTTATACCATGTGTACCTAATTTTCTGTCCAGAATTTCATTTTTAAAAAATAATAATCCAGGTTTAAATTTGTTGATCATTTAGGGAGCAAAGAATGGCTGGAGCTGTTTTGAAATGGGTTCAAGATGAACCATAATGGTTAAAATTAGGGTTAGGGTTAGGTAACCCAAATCTAGTTTTGTCTCTTTATAAAGCAAAATATCCTGCTGCTCACAGGATTGTGAAGAGCTGTCTGAGGTTTACTTCTCCCTTGTAGGAACTCAAAAAATCTGCTGTGCAACTATGCAATCCATCCAGACCCAAAATGTATCAAACTCGATTTCATTAAGGGCTGCATCAGGGTTGTGTTTGACCTCGTTGGGATGGGGACATGGCCAGGGTGGACGTGGCCAGTTAGACGTCATTCATGTTGGGGTTGGTGGGCCTCTTGCAACCCTCTGGGCTCCAATTTTCAGATGCAACGGCCTCCTGCTGCCCTCTGCCAGTGAAAATGTGTGTGTGTGTGGGGGGGCGTGTGTGGCTCCCCAGAGCTCTGTTTTTGCTGGCAGAGGCACTTGCGGGCCAATCCTTTGCTGTTTCCAGGGTGGTCCCACGGGACGGATCTAAGCATTCCATGGGCTGGATCTGGCCCCAGGGCCTTGAGTTTGACACTCCTGCTTTAGAGCAATAGTTTAAAGAAAGTGTTGATAAATTGTTCTTCAAAAGCAAACCGTTTTTATCATACCTCTCTCCCCCAAAAAAGGCTATGTTCATGTGGTCATTATGGTTAAGCTTTGCTTAAGCCAAATCTTTATAATCAGTCTTTCTCCATCATCCTCAAGTTGTCACCCCAGGACAACATGAGGATGATGTTGTCAGGACATCATCAGATGACAGGATCGATTATCTGAGGTGGTAAGTTTAGCCCTGATTTTCAGTACCTTTCTTAATAATACTATGAGAGCTGGTTCTCATCCAGTTACAAGCAAACAGTTTGACAGAACAGCTGGATAGCAGAACAAGAGCTATTTGTATCTCTCCCCCCAAAAGAATATTTTTTACTTCATTACATGACAGTTACCAATTTTATGTCTTTGAAAGTCTGCTTTTGTCACTTCTTGTGCAATTGTTTGAGAGAAGAAAAACCAGAAAGTCCAGTTGCCTCTTGAAAAAGCAGCTTTGGGAGAAACTGCTCCCAAAGCATGAGAGAAACATGACCATGATCTTTGTTCTCTCTTCTAGATTCCCAACTACCAAGTCCTCGTGGAAAGAAATTTGTCATGGCTTTCATGCAAGACCACCAGAAGTACCAAAGCAATCCACCTGACATTAAATACCAGCTGCTCATCACTGGTCATCATCACTCAACTGTTACCAAAGTGTCAGTAAGCAAGCATATGTTCTGGAGAACATTTGTAATCAACAAAGGAAATACAGCAACAGTTAAAATCCCCAAAACATTTGAGATGAGTGGATCAAATTATTTCGATATGACTGTGTTCATTGAAGCTAACAAAGACATTTCAGTCTTTGCCCAGCATGAGGGAGGGTCTTCGGTTGGCACTACTCTTGTGCTCCCATTCCACCAGCTAGGTAGAGTGTATCATGTGGTAACTCCGAATGTTAGCAACACAGATGGTTTCAAGGAATTTGCCATTGTAGCTCAGGAAACTGCCACTGAAGTTGATATTTCCCTAAAAGGAGATGTGCTATTCAATGGACAGGCTTATCCTGCAGGAAGTAAACTTTCTGTTAATCTTGAGGCGTTCCAAGCACTTCAGCTGCAAAGCTCAGATGATTTATCAGGTACCAAAATTGAATCAAAAGAACCTGTGGCTGTCTTCAGCGGACACAGCTGTATTATGAAAGACAACGCCTGCAACCAGGTTTATGAACAGCTGCTGCCCAGTTCAAGCTGGGGTGCCTTCTTCATTGTCCCTATGCTCCCTTTCCAAAACAGGGATGGCATACTGTATATAACAGCTTCCCAAAACACTTATCTCAAATATCAACATGGGGATGTGCTCAGCTCCCAGACCCTGGAATCTGGAGAAGTCATGCAGTTAAACAAATATTCTTCTGAGCCAGTTTCTATTTCCGCCAGTGCTAGAATCCAGGTGCTTTACTTCTCCACTGGTGGTGAAAGCCAAGGCCATGGACCATTGCTACTCAATATCCCAGCGGTTACAAGCTTTTGCAAATCATATGATCTTCTTTCCATGAAGCAGTTGGATAATTATGCTATCATCGTAGCCAAAACCTCTGATCCCAGTAGAATCAGAATTCAGAGGAAGACCTTGGCAAAAAGCCAGTGGAAATCAGTCCCAGACACAGAATACTATTGGACTGAATACAGCTTGGCTAGAGGAGGAGGGATTCTTTCTTCAGAGGGTCTTCGTGTTCCACTTGGGGTCTTCATCCTTGGATTTTCACAGAATGATGGCTATGGCTCACAGGACCATTGTATCACCTGTAAGTATTGTCAGACTTAATACCTTTAATTTTGTGAGTCTTTCCGATTGTGTGGGTTTGCATTTTTGCTGAAAGGAGCTCTTCCTGAAGGAAACTCTATATTGTATTTGCCTGGACAAGAGCTCTTTTATACCATATGATTTATAGTTCATTGAAGGATTAAACCAGTCGAGTGGGATGCACATGGGAATAAGCCTTGGAAACTATCCTTAGAACAATGGTGTCAAACTCACATCGTCATGGCTCTGTCACATGATTTTTTCCCTTTTTGCTAAACCGTGCCTACTTTAGAGTGTCACAGTATGATACTTGAGTACAGTTTTCTCAACCTTGGCAGCTTTAAGATGTGTGGACTTCAACTTCCAGAATTCCCCAGGCGGCCATTTTGGCTGGGGAATTCTGGGAGTTGAAGTCCACACATCTTAAAGGTGCCAAGGTTGAGAAAACCTGTTCTGGTATCATGCATGGTTAAGGCTCACAGCTGTTTGTTTCTCTGATAAGTATTTAAAGGCTTAATATTACTTTCAAGAAATTAGAGGGGATGTGGAGTTTAAATATATGTTAATATCTTTCTATATATGGAAAATCAATACAGGTAGTCCTTGATCAACAACTATTGATTTAGTGACCATTTAGTAACAATGGCACTGAATGAATGGTGGTTATGATAGGGTCTTTGAAGTTCTGGCCTTCCCAGCACCCCTGTGGCCATGTGATTTGATTGCTTGACAACAGGCTTGTACTTATGACAGTTGCAACATTCCATGGGCACAATGTGGCCAGAGCTACACCTCTATTGCAAGTCTAGAAGAGTTTTCATGACAACATTTGGCAGCCACAGAACCATTAAGGGCAACATTTTTAACTTTTCTCAGTTCTGACTCTGTATCTTCCAACTTCATGGGTCCCTCTGACATTTGTTTCCACACTGACTTGCAAGTAAACTAACAAATTCATATCTTCCATGTCGGTCCTCTGGAAACTTCTACTTATTGTTTGTCCTTTCTTTTTTTTATATGCATTGAAGGAAGGATTTTAATATTTAATTCTCATTTTATGGCAATCAACTGGCTAACTAATCAGTTCTAACCTTTCTTAAAGTTCCTGAATCTGACAGCATCTAACATTAATAAATGTGAGGTCTTTATGTGACTTTAAGCATGTTTTCAAATAAGAAAATAATCTGATCTAAAAAGGTTGGGACTTCCTTTTCCAAATCTATGTACAATCAGCTCTGGGCAGTGCTCAGTATAGTTTTAGATCTATCAACTCCAAGCTGATAATCGCCAGAAGTGATTGGAAATTAGAGAGCTGAAACTGTAACATTCTTGAAGGCATCTAGCTGGAAAAAAATGTTGACATGGCTAAGAAAAAAATCCTATCAGTGACCTGTTCCTTTCGTCTATAGAGATTCCTAGGTTCTGGTTGTCTCAAATATGCTTTTTCAAGAGGCGACTGGATTTTCTGGGAGTTTTTTTTTGAAGACGTTTTGCTTCTCATCCAAGAAGCTTCTTCAGCTTTGTCCTTGAAAAAGAGCTGAAGAAGCTTCTTGGATGAGAAATGAAATGTCTTCAGAGAAAAACAAGAAAGTCCAGTTGTCTATTGAAAAAGCATCTTTGGAACCTGTTCCTTTCCTTCCATGGATCTCGTTTTCTTCTCTGCTTACCAAGAGGTACCCAAGATTGTCTGCCTTCTTTCTTCTCATCTTGAGTAGGCAATTATGATTTCCTGTCTCTTCTTTCCATTTAGCTATGACCTGTCCAGCCAACAGTCACTACGAAGTCTGCACTGACACTTGCTCCAACCACTGTGCCAACACCACAGATGCTGAGCCATGTCCAGAGACCTGCACGGAGGGTTGCCAGTGTGATGATGGATTTTTATTGGATGGCATTGATTGTATTCCCAAAGAAAAGTGTGGGTGCTTCAGCAACGGACACTATTATCAAGTAATTATGTTTGGGATTTACTCCTGTACTCTCTGTTGTTGCTGCCTTTACTTACTAAATTTATTCATTAAATAATTTGAGATAGCCATCCCTCTATCTCAGGGGTGGGTTCTACTTATCTTTATTACCGGTTCACAACGGGGCTGTGCGCGCTCTCTCTCTTTGCTCGTGCGCGTGCACTCTTCTGCACAAGCGCAGAAGCTTCTGCACAGAAGCATTTTCATGACATCGGGGTCAGTGGGCGGAGCCTCCCACCAGTTTCACTACCAGTTCTATAGAACTGGTGCGAACCGGGGGCAACCCACCACTGCTCTATCCACAGGAACTCTGGGTGGCTCATCAAATAAAAACACAATGCAGTAAAATGTTTAAAACATTAGTCCTGCTCAATGAATGACAGATAAATTTTGGTGATGGTTGTTCTTCAGAGTATGTGGAATCATGTTCCCCAATTTCTCAGTATCCCTTCTTTGTGATCATTAAAAATTTATCATCTTTGATAAATTCAAAGACAAATCTGAAAGAGATGAAACTGTAAGGACTGGACTGCAAGAGATAAATATTTTTTATACATCTGAAGCTCAGGGTTTTCCTTCTAAATGATGCCATCTGATTCTTCTTGACTTTGTACTTTGTGATCTCCCAACTGATAATTTTTCAGGGCTTTCACATTGCATTAGAAATATGATGTTTGTATTTACTTGCATTATTTAGAGTCGTGCATCAAAGTGATGCAAAATGCTGTGCTTTTAAGAACAACGATGATTTCTTATAAAAGACTTGAAATCCTTTATGGATTTTTGCTGAAAATGGACAAAGATGAATTGGTGAACTTGAGGTATACTGATTAAAAGGGGTTGTTCATGGGAAGAAGGAAACCATGATATGTAATTTGGGACAGTGGAAATGATAATTGTAACCATGTTTGTAACTGCTGTAAGCAAGATCGTAAATAGCTTCTTTAGATATTTTTCTCTTTTTTTTCTTTTTCTTTGACTTTTAGAATTTTTCACTTTTATCTTTTCATATCTCTTTCTTCTAATTCTCTCTTTATGTAGATTTTAATCCATTGTGAACAGTGTGCAAATAACTATTCTTCATGTTGTTCTCTCTTTCTTTCATTCTCCCTTACATGGATACCTTAGTTTTATGTGAAAATCCCACAGATACATCTATTCAGAACTTTTCAGTGAATTGTATTTACAGGTCAGATCTCTCATTGTTGTAGATCTGAAATCAGCTTTGATTCTGTTTTGTAATTTTCTCTTTCCATTTTGACAACAGCGCAACGAGATGGTTCTGTTGAATGCTTGCAAGCAGCAATGTACTTGCATCCCAGGTGAGGGGCTGACCTGTACTGACCACAGCTGTGCCACTGAGGAGACCTGTGAGTCCCAAGAAGGAGTCATGAGATGTGTTCAGAAAGGTAACCAGAATTTCAGAATGATGGCTGAAAGGGGTTCTTAATGGTTCAGAGTTACCTTAAAATACGATTTTCAGGATATTTATCCATAGGGCAGACAATACAAACAAATGGAAAAAGATGAAATATGCATATTGGCTTAAACCAATGATACCAATCAGTAAAAGATACTCAGGGCCATACTGTGATATTTTGCCCTGTCTGAAGGCCACATGGGCATGGATGGAGGTGTTGAAGAGTCACCAAAGTAGATGTGATTGATATATTTTTTTAAACTTTTGGGAGGGAGAAGGGGGTGATGGAGTGATAAATTGCTACCTGGGTGTTGGAACTCAGAAGTTGCCATTGGCTCTTATTTTCCTGGCTTTATTCTGGACTTTCCGACAACCAGAAACAAGAAGAGAAGACAGGGAAGTATCCCAATTTAATGCACAAGCAGATCTATCCTCTCTTAAGAGTCCTTCTTTGTTTCAGGAACTTGTCATGTAACTTCCCGAGGGAAGAGTTTTGTTACTGCCTTCATGCAGAATTACAACCCTGGGCAATCTGGTCAAAAGCTTGAACTGTACATCTCTGGATATAATTTTGCAACAAATATTAAAGTGTCGACAGGCAATACGATACTATACAAAACCATCAATGAAGGAGAAGTCATTTATATTCCATTACCACAGTCCTTAGAAATGGTGGGGAGTGACAAATTTAAAAAGGCAGTGCTGATTGAAGCTGACCAAGACATTTCTGTCATCTCCTACAACTACTTGCCGATAACAAGTGATGGAACAATCACCTACCCCATCCACCAGCTGGGACAGTTATATTATGTGGTCACCCCCACAGGAAATGGTGCAAAAGAATTCGCTATCATAGCCCATGAAGATCTCACAACAGTGACCATCCACCTGAAAGGCACTGTGAGATACAAAAGCAAGGTTTACCGTCCTGGGTCCACCTTGGTGACTGAGCTCACGGCCTTTGAAGCAATTCAGCTGCAAAGCTCAGAAGATTTATCAGGCACCAGGATTGAATCGACCAAACCTGTGGCTGTCTTGAGTGGACATACCTGTGTTGTCAAGTTCACATCCTGTGATCATGTTGTTGAGCAGCTCCTGCCAGTTCAGAGCTGGGGAACCACCTTCATTGCCCCTCCTCTTCCTTTCCAGACACAATATGATATTGCGTATATTGTTTCGGCAGAGAACACTTTACTCAAATATCAGTCTGGCTCCAAAACAGAATCCCGTACTCTTGTGGCTGGAGAAGTGGTTCAACTTGAGATCCTGACTTCTCAACCACTTTTTATCTCTGCTGATGCTGGAATCCAAGTCCTATTTTTTTTTACTGGTGCCAAAAGAGGAGACAATTTCTATGATCCTTTCCTCATGAACATCCCTGCCACAACATGCTATTGCAATTCATACCGCATTTATGGAATGAAGGACTTCACAAATCATGCTATGATTATAGCCAAAACGTCAGAGTCCGGTAGGATCAAATGGGGAGAACAGACGATCCAGTGGACAAAGATCCCAGGCACTGAATATTCATGGGCTGAACAAGATGTGGCAATAACAGATCGTGCCCAGCTAGTGGAACATGAGAACTCTCAATTTGGACTTTTCGTCTTTGGAGGTGGTAAATCTGATGGCTATGGTACTCCTGCTCTTTGTTCTTCAGGTAAGTATCCTCATAAATCCATGAAGATATTTAACTTCTCAGAGATCACTCTCACCCATTCCATACCTTCCCTCTAGCTACAGTATTATGAGAATGCAAGGACAATTGCTTCAAGTGAATACTTGAAGCAATTCAAGTGAAGAGCCTCCATGGTGCAGCGGACTAAAGTGCTGTTAAGTGCTAGCACTTAGCTGCCAGCTGCCTGCAATTAGTGCAAGTTTGAATCTCACCAGGCTCAAGGTTGACTCAGCCTTCCATCCTTTCGAGGTAGGTAAATTGAGGACCCGGATTGTGGGGGCAATAAGCCAACTTTGTATAGAACAACACTGCTTGGGGGGAGGGGCAAAAGCCCTAATAAGCAGGTATATACAAGAAACAGTATGCAGGCTATTGCTATAATGCATTGTAAGCCACCCTGAGTGTACGGAGAAGGACGGCATATAAATTGGACTAATAAATAAATAAATAAATACTCTCACCCCAGTCATCCCAGATCATAAAGTAATGAAAATTCTTTAACTTTCAGTGTCTATCTTGATTCACAGTTATCCAGGTCATGGTTGTCCCAAAGGTGTTTTTTCAAGAGGCACCTCGACTTTCTGGTTTTTCTTTGAAGATATTTTGCTTCTCATCCAAGAAGCTTCTTCAAGTCTGACTGGATGGTGGGGAATGGAAGGATTTATACTCCTTGTAAACAGCTGGCTATTTGCATTCTTTTAGAGAGTCATTGAGGCCACCTGGAGGTCTCTCTGTGTCATCAGGGTCACCTGAGTAGTGCAAATGGGTGTGGAGCCTTCTTGGAACTGTTGAAAGGACTGTGTTGTAGACTGGAGATAGATGATGTCATATCCCTCCCCCTCTATTGAGAGAAGGCTGTTCGATTTTGACATAGATGGCCTCTTTGACTTTAATTTTTCCTTAACTTTCAGTTTCCTAAAAAAGAGCATGAGATAAATCACTAAAGGCTCTCCTTTTTCCATCCACACAGTGTGTATTACACAATGTGGTAGCTTGTTGAGAAAATTGGAATGACTGATTAGAAAGTGTAAGGGTATATCCCACCATAAATCAACTCAGCTTTCAAAGCCAGCTCAACTCATAGGTCCTAAGACAGGACAAAGTTCCTGTCTTAGGACTCCCTTGGAAACTGATATTGAAAGCCCCATTTCAAAAAGCTTCTAAATAAACATGTAACCTGTGTCTCAGATCCTTAAAGGGAATCCTGTGGATGCATCAGAGCAGTACAATCATTCTGTTCCCTACTTGCAATTGTCCACCCCACTAGCTTCGTGCGGTGTCTCCATACATATTATCTTCCATCACAGCCACACTACCTTCAATTGGTAGCTACATCCACTTTATTCCATTTTCCTCTGCCTTGAGTAGCACCCAGGAAATTTCAACTAATATACATATGTATATTTCCAATGTAGTTTCAAGCTGCCCAGTCAACAGCCATTACAGGGTGTGTGCCAACCTGTGCCCCACTACTTGTGCCAAGATCAATGACCCTGATCCATGCTCAGAGACCTGTGTGACAGGATGCCAGTGTGATGCCGGCTTCTTCTTTGATGGCCTTTCCTGTGTTTCTGTGGAAAGCTGTGGCTGTTCTCAAGATGGACACAACTACAAGGTTAGTGAATATACAGATGATCCTTGATTTATGACCACAGTAAAGCCCAACATTTTTGTTGCTTGACAAGGCAGTTGTTAAACAAATTGTGCACCATTTTATGAAACTTTGTTAAGCACATGTATTAGTGTGAATCATGGCTTCCCACATTGACTTTGCTTATCAGAAGCCAGCTGGGAGTTAAAAATGGTAATCACGAGACAGTGCTTCTGTCATAAATACATGCCAGTTGTGAAGCTCATAAATTTTGATGACATGACTATGGGGATGCTGCAAGAGTCATAAGTGTGAAAACAGGTCATAAGTAACTTTTGTCAATGCTATTATAACTTAGAACGGTCACCAGGTGCAGTGTGGTAGTTTAGTGGTGAAGGTGGTCACATCCTGCTTGGAAGGTTGAGAATTCAATCCTAGATAGTGGCAGATATTTCTCTCTTTGGGCGCAAAGAGAAAATATCTGTTGTGAGCTCCACATAGGCATCAGGAAGGGCATACGGCCAGTAAATGCTCAGCTCCAATCAGTCTCCCCAACTCTACCCCAAATGAAGGGATTACAGGGTTGTAAAAAGGGAGGTTTTTAATGTTATGCAGTTGAGATTTTAAATGGTTCAGAGTGGCTTAAAACCATAAATGGTTCCACCAAACAATGAATAAGAATCTGAAGTATACTACAGGTGATTCTTTGCATGGATTGGATAATCCTTCTATATTGACCGTATCTGAATGAATTTATTGGAAAATAGGAAAATGATACATACATTTCTTTGCATTGGGGACTCATGGAATGAAGAACATGATGTGAACCAAGGTTATAATAAATTCAAATAAATAATATGATTAAATAAAATTTACCATCTATCCCAAAATCAATATATGTATATGTAGTAATTCAGAAAATCTCTGTTTCTTCCTACCAGCCCCATGAGATAGTTCTGCTGAACAAATGCCAGAAAAAGTGTACATGTGTCCTGGTCAAGGGCTCCTATGTGAGGCCCACTCTTGTGCCGCTGATGAAACCTGCAGCCTTCAAGAGGGAGTCCAGTCCTGTGTGAAGAGTAAGCATTTATTCCTTTATGTTCACTGGCTATGTATCCTCAGTGAAAAGCAATTGTAGCTTGATGACTATAGCCCAAGGGAGATGGACAGTTAAGAAATATGAAAGGTAGGTAGGTAGGTAGGTAGTAGGTAGGTAGGTAGGTGGGTGGGTGGATGGATGAATGGATGGATGGATGGATGGAGAGAGGGATGCCAGCTCAGCTCATATGTCCTGAGTTGATTCTATGATAAGACAAAGCTCATGAATGAAGAGACCTTTGGAGACTATCCCATTGAAACACTCCTTTAAAATGATCTCCAAATAAAGATGTAAAATTATGTATAAATCTCAGTTCCTTAAAGGGAATCCTGTGATGCATCAGAGCAGTACAATCATTCTGTTTACTACTCGCAATTGTCCCCCCCCCACTAGCTTTGTCTGGGGTGTCCATACATATTATCTTCCATCACAGCCACACTACCTTCAATTGGTAGCTACATCCACTTTATTCCATTTTCCTCTGTCTTGAGTAGCACCCAGGAAATTTTAACTAATATACATATGTATATTTTTCCAATGTAGTTTCAAGCTGCCCAGTCAACAGCCATTACAGTGTGTGTGTCAACCTGTGCCCCACTACTTGTGCCAAGATCAATGACCCTGATCCATGCCCAGATAACTGTGCGACAGGATGCCAGTGTGATGCCGGCTTCTTCTTTGATGGCCTTTCCTGTGTTTCTGTGGAAAGCTGTGGCTGTTCTCAAGACGGACACAACTACAAGGTTAGCGAATATACAGTTAGCCTTCAATTTACAACCACAATTTCTGTTGCTAAGCAAGGCAGTTGTTAAGTGATTTGTGCCCATTTTGCAACATGTTTGGCCACATTTATTAAGTGAATCACTGCAACTGTTAAGTGAACCATGCCGTCACTAGGAAAACCTGGCCCCCCCATTGACTTTGCTTGTCAGATGCCAGCTGGGAGTGTTACAAATGGTAATCAAGGGAGAAACGTCTGTCATGCAGTTGCCAAGGACACAAATTTTGATCATGTGACCATAGGGATGCAGCAACCATGAATATGCTACAACAGTCATAAGTGTGAAAGCAGATCAGGAGTCACTTTTTTTTAATGCTGTTGTATCTTTAAATAATCACTAAACAAATGGTTGAAAGTCAAGGAATACAGGCAGGTCACATTATCCAGCACAAGAGATATATGTGCATGTATGAGGAAACCTATGATTTTTCATGATCAATTTTTTAAAAAAAATTTTTTTACTGATGAACTTCTTTTCAGTTTATTCTTTCAGAAAAGGAAATCTTTTTAGTATTATGTTAGGCATAAATGGTTCAGAGTGGCTTAAAACCACAAATGCTTCCGTCAAACACTGAATAAGAATCTAAAGAATTCTTTTCTTGATATACCTACTGGTGATTATTTCCATGGATATTTCTTCTACATTGACAGTATCTAAATGAATTTATTGGGAATTAGGAAAATGAGACACACATTTTGTTCTATTGGGAACTTTTTTTAAAAAATTACCTTTTTAAAAATCTAAGGTCATAAATGAACTCAAAAAAAAAATAATAAGAGAGGAATATCTGCTGCTAAGGTGCCCAGGATCAAAGTCAGAGCCTCCTGATTGGGAGGCAAGAGCTCCACCTCTTAGGCCACCATGCCACTCATAATAGAATAGAATTCTTTATTGGCCAAGTGTGATTGGACACACAAGGAATTTGTTTTTGGTGCATATGTTCTCAGTGTACATAAGGAGAATAAAATACATTCCTTAAGAATAAAAAGATACAAGACTTAGTGGTAGTCAAGGTTACTAATAAGCTATCAAATGATGCTAGGAAACAAGTAAAAACAGTATAATTGAAAGATACAAGCAACATGGTTATATTAATAAGTAACAATTTTAATAAGTAATATAGTAATAATATAATAATATATTCAAATAAATGATATAATTAAATAAAATTTATATCCCAAAGTCAATATATGCATATGTTGTAATTCAGAAAATTTGCTTCTTCCTACCAGCCCCATGAGACAGTTCTGCTGAATACATGCCAGAAAAAGTGTACTTGTGTTCCCGATCAAGGGCTCCTATGTGAGACCTATTCTTGTGCCACTGATGAAACCTGCAGCCTTCAAGAGGGAGTCCAGTCCTGTGTTAAGGGTAAGCATTTATTCCTTTATGTTCACTGGCTATGTATCCTCAGTGAAAAGCAATTGTAGCTTGAGTACTATAGCCCAAGGGTGATGGGCAGTTAAGAAATATGAAGGATAGGTAGGTAGGTAGGTAGGTAGGTAGGTAGGTGGGTGGGTGGGTGGGCGGATGGATGGATGGATGGATGGAGAGAGGGATGCCATCTCAGCTCATATGTCCTAAGTTGATTCTATGATAAGACAAAGCTCATGAATGAAGAGACCTTTGGAGACTATCCCATTGAAAGCTCGGTTTAAAAAGATCTCCAAATAAAGATGTAAAATGATGTATAAATCTCAGTTTCTTAAAGGGAATCCTGTGATGCATCAGAGCAGTACAATCATTCTGTTCCCTACTTGCAATTGTCCACCCCACTAGCTTCATGCGGTGTCTCCATACATATTATCTTCCATCACAGCCACACTACCTTCAATTGGTAGCTACATCCACTTTATTCCATTTTCCTCTGCCTTGAGTAGCACCCAGGAAATTTCAACTAATATACATATGTATATTTTCAATGTAGTTCCAAGCTGCCCAGTCAACAGCCATTACAGGGTGTGTGCCAACCTGTGCCCCACTACTTGTGCCAAGATCAATGACCCTGATCCATGCTCAGAGACCTGTGTGACAGGATGCCAGTGTGATGCCGGCTTCTTCTTTGATGGCCTTTCCTGTGTTTCTGTGGAAAGCTGTGGCTGTTCTCAAGATGGACACAACTACAAGGTTAGCGAATATACAGATAGCCCTCAACTTTAAACCACAATTTCTGTTGCTAAGCAAGGCAGTTGTTAAGTGATTTGTGCCCATTTTGTAACATGTTTGGCCACATTTATTAAGTGAATCACTGCAACTGTTAAGTGAACCATGCCGTCACTAGGAAAACCTGGCTTCCCCCATTGACTTTGCTTGTCAGATGCCAGCTGGGAGTGTTACAAATGGTAATCAAGGGAGAAACGTCTGTCATGCAGTTGCCAAGGACACAAATTTTGATCATGTGACCATAGGGATGCAGCAACCATGAATATGCTACAACAGTCATAAGTGTGAAAGCAGATCAGGAGTCACTTTTTTTTAATGCTGTTGTATCTTTAAATAATCACTAAACAAATGGTTGAAAGTCAAGGAATACAGGCAGGTCACATTATCCAGCACAAGAGATATATGTGCATGTATGAGGAAACCTATGATTTTTCATGATCAATTTTTAAAAAAATTTTTTACTGATGAACTTCTTTTCAGTTTATTCTTTCAGAAAAGGAAATCTTTTTAGTATTATGTTAGGCATAAATGGTTCAGAGTGGCTTAAAACCACAAATGCTTCCGTCAAACACTGAATAAGAATCTAAAGAATTCTTTTCTTGATATACCTACTGGTGATTATTTCCATGGATATTCCTTCTACATTGACAGTATCTAAATGAATTTATTGGGAATTAGGAAAATGAGACACACATTTTGTTCTATTGGGAACTTTTTTAAAAAAATTACCTTTTTAAAAATCTAAGGTCATAAATGAACTCAAAAAAAAATAATAATAAGAGAGGAATATCTGCTGCTAAGGTGCCCAGGATCAAAGTCAGAGCCTCCTGATTGGGAGGCAAGAGCTCCACCTCTTAGGCCACCATGCCACTCATAATAGAATAGAATTCTTTATTGGCCAAGTGTGATTGGACACACAAGGAATTTGTTTTTGGTGCATATGTTCTCAGTGTACATAAGGAGAATAAAATACATTCCTTAAGAATAAAAAGATACAAGACTTAGTGGTAGTCAAGGTTACTAATAAGCTATCAAATCATGCTAGGAAACAAGTAAACACAGTATAATTGAAAGATACAAGCAACATGGTTATACTAATAAGTAACAATTTTAATAAGTAATATAGTAATAATATAATAATACATTCAAATAAATGATATAATTAAATAAAATTTATATCCCAAAGTCAATATATGCATATGTTGTAATTCAGAAAATCTGTTTCTTCCTACCAGCCCCATGAGACAGTTCTGCTGAATACATGCCAGAAAAAGTGTACTTGCGTTCCCGATCAAGGGCTCCTATGTGAGACCTATTCTTGTGCCACTGATGAAACCTGCAGCCTTCAAGAGGGAGTCCAGTCCTGTGTTAAGGGTAAGCATTTATTCCTTTATGTTCACTGGCTATGTATCCTCAGTGAAAAGCAATTGTAGCTTGAGTACTATAGCCCAAGGAAGATGGGCAGTTAAGAAATATGAAGGATAGTAGGTAGGTAGGTAGGTAGGTAGGTAGGTAGGTAGGTAGGTAGGAGGTAGGTGGGTGGTGTGGGTGGGTGGGGGTGGGTGGATGGATGTGGATGGATGGATGGATGGATGGATGGATGGAGAGAGGGATGCCAGCTCAGCTCATATGTCCTGAGTTGATTCTATGATAAGACAAAGCTCATGAATGAAGAGTCCTTTGGAGACTCCCATTGAAAGCTCGGTTTAAAATGATCTCCAAATAAAGATGTAAAATGATGTATAAATCTCAGTTTCTTAAAGGGAATCCTGTGATGCATCAGAGCAGTACAATCATTCTGTTCCCTACTTGCAATTGTCCACCCCACTAGCTTCGTGCGGTGTCTCCATACATATTATCTTCCATCACAGCCACACTACCTTCAATTGGTAGCTACATCCACTTTATTCCATTTTCCTCTGCCTTGAGTAGCACCCAGGAAATTTCAACTAATATACATATGTATATTTCCAATGTAGTTCCAAGCTGCCCAGTCAACAGCCATTACAGGGTGTGTGCCAACCTGTGCCCCACTACTTGTGCCAAGATCAATGATCCTGATCCATGCTCAGAGACCTGTGTGACAGGATGCCAGTGTGATGCCGGCTTCTTCTTTGATGGCCTTTCCTGTGTTTCTGTGGAAAGCTGTGGCTGTTCTCAAGATGGACACAACTACAAGGTTAGTGAATATACAGATGATCCTTGATTTATGACCACAGTAAAGCCCAACATTTTTGTTGCTCAACAAGGCAGTTGTTTAAACAAATTGTGCACCATTTTATGACCTTTTGCCAACTTTGTTAAGCGAATCACTGTATTAGTTAAGTGAATCATGGCTTCCCACATTGACTTTACTTATCAGAAGCCAGCTGGGAGTTACAAATGGTAATCACGAGACAGTGCTTCTGTCATAAATACATGCCAGTTGTGAAGCTCATAAATTTTGATGACATGACTATGGGGATGCTGCAAGAGTCATAAGTGTGAAAACAGGTCATAAGTAACTTTTGTCAATGCTATTATAACTTAGAACGGTCACCAGGTGCAGTGTGGTGGTTTAGTGGTGAAGGCCTTCTGCTTGGAAGGTTGAGAATTCAACCCTAGGTAGTGGCAGATATTTCTCTCTTTGGGCGCAAAGAGAAAATATCTGCTGTGAGCTCCACATAGGCATCAAGAAGGGCATACAGCCAGTAAATGCTCAGCTCCAATCAGTCTCCCCAACTCTACCCCAAATGAAGGGATTACAGGGTTGTAAAAAGGGAGGTTTTTAATGTTATGCAGTTGAGATTTTAAATGGTTCAGAGTGGCTTAAAACCACAAATGGTTCCACCAAACAATGAATAAGAATCTGAAGTATACTACAGGTGATTCTTTGCATGGATTGGATAATCCTTCTATATTGACCGTATCTGAATGAATTTATTGGAAAATAGGAAAATGATACACACATTTTTTTGCATTGGGGACTCATGGAATGAAGAACATGATGTGAACCAAGGTTATAATAAATTCAAATAAATAATATGATTAAATAAAATTTACCATCTATCCCAAAATCAATATATGTATATGTAGTAATTCAGAAAATCTCTGTTTCTTCCTACCAGCCCCATGAGATAGTTCTGCTGAACAAATGCCAGAAAAAGTGTACTTGTGTTCCTGGTCAAGGGCTCCTATGTGAGGCCCACTCTTGTGCCGCTGATGAAACCTGCAGCCTTCAAGAGGGAGTCCAGGCTTGTGTGAAGGGTAAGCATTCATTCCTTTATGTTCACTGGCTATGTATCCTCAGTGAAAAGCAATTGTAGCTTGAGGACTATAGCCCAAGACAGTGTGGACTTCAACTCCTAGAACTCCTCAGCCAGCTGTCTTGGAGAATGCATTTTGAAATGGCCAAGGTTGAAAAACACTGGAGCACATGACTGGCAGAGTAAGTCAGTTATGGGAACATTTGAGAAAATGAGGATATATTTTCCAGGTTCTAACAGGCTGCTCTAAAATGACTGCTATGATAGACAACGGATTAAAGATATACATGGGCAAATGGACATGGCAACTCTTTCAACTAATCACTCCCTTAAGCTTCTGACAGCAGTTAAAACAACTTTTACCCTGGAAAAATATTTACATCTAGAAATGCCATCAGTGGAGAGAGAGCTATTTGTCAAGTTTAGATTTGAACTTTTAGATACCAACGTTAAATTCGGCCGTTACCGGAAAATCCCGTATGACGAAAGAACATGTATATGTGGGGTAAACATCGTGGAGGATACGGCACATATAATATTTGAATGTAGGTTGTATGAGGAAGTAAGAAAACAATATCTGTCCCCAATTATAAATAATTTCCCCACTGAAATGTAAGGTATAAATTATCATTTCTATTGAAGGCAGACTCTCCTCCCCTGGTAAGGGCTATCACTCGCTATCTTAAAAGGATGACAGCAATATGAGCCAGTTATATCGAAAAGAATTTCATTGATTGTAAGAAAGATGAGCTGAGTTAGAGAGGAGCTATCTTATTTGGGTTACCTAGTTTTGGAAATTTAGTTATTGAACTTCGATATTGTTAAATTTTAAATGCCATATATCATATATTTTTAGACTGTTATTTCTGTAACTGTTTGTTTTATCTTTTTTTTTTTTTTGAAAAGGCCTTCGGGCTATTCAATAAAAGAAATTGACATGATAGGCAAAGCCAGCCAGTATACCAAACACTAATTACCAAGTAGAAAACACTTGAAGTTGCTTCCTGCTGTCTCTTCAAGCTATCTGCCATTTTGTTTTTTAAGACGATCAATTTGGATCCCACCAATTTCATTCCAATTAAAAGTTGGGGCAGGACGTGGGATTTTACTTTGCAATTTTCCAACCCCATATTCATTCATTTTTTTTAAAAAAAAAATCCAAGTATTTATGTGAGTGGGTTAGGAAACAACACTGTGAACATTAAGGAAGATATTCACTAGTACATTGATGTCAATGGCTTACAATATCTAGCCGAGATTATTCTTCTATCAGTGTTTCTCAACTTTGGTAACTTTAAGACATGTGGACTTCAGCTTCCAAACTTCTGGGAGTTGAAGTCTACATGTCTTAAAATTGCCAAGGTTGAGAAACGCTGCTCCAAGTCAAGCATGTTCAATCTTCATCAGATTGAGCCAGGGATGAAATCCAGCAGGTTCTGGCAGGTTCTGGAGAACAGGTAGTGGAAATTTTGAGTAGTTCGAAGAACCGGCAAATACCACCTCTGGCTGGTCCCAGAGTTGGGTGGGAATGGAGATTTTGCAATATCCTTCCCCAAGAGTGTGGAGGGAATGGGGATTTTGCAGTATCCTTCCCCTGCCATGCCCATCAAGCCACACAATCCCCACCAAGCTACACCCACAGAACCGGTAGTAAAAAAATTTGAATTTTATCACTGGATTGAGCCCCTATATTGAATGTTTCATAGTACATTATTGGCCATATTGTATAATGAGCAAAACCAGAACATTTCCCTGCATGGGGGCTCTAAAAGTGAACATGGAAGGAAAGGATATGGCTGAGTTCCCTCAAGGGCTGATAAATGAAACCTGATTGAAGTTCTCAGAGGTTGACACAACATAGACAGAGCTATAACTTTAATGCAACTCTTTCTAATGCAACAGAGTCATTAAGAGAAAGATGTATTCCATAATTTTAAACTCTTCTTGGATCAAATCCTTCACCTTCTTTCCCCATGTTCCTCTGCCTTAGAAATGGATTGGCAAATTAATATATTCCATGTTGCTTTTCGGAAAATCTCTCCCAACTAATGTATCTTTGCAAAAATGGATTCATTGAAGAAAGAGGATTTCAATGTTTAATTCCAATTTTATAATTTGTCCTTATGGCAATCTATTGACTAACCACCATCACTTCAAATTTTTCATCCTATCTACATGCACAAGCAGATTCCTCTATTAAGAGTCCTTTTCTTTTTCAGATACCTGTAATGTAAGTTCCCGAGGAAAGAAATTCCTTACTGCCTTCATATTCAATTATTTCAATTACCAGAGTAAAAAATTGGAGCTGTATGTCTCTGGATATCATCCTGCAACAAATATTACAGTGTCAACAAACACTGGGATAATACACAGGACCATTAATGAAGGAGAACTCACTTCCATTGAATTGCCACTCTCCTTAGAAATGGAGGGGAGTGACATCTATAATAAGGCAGTGCTGATTGAAGCTGACCAAGATATTTCGGTCTCTTCCTATAGTGATGTATCTGCTTCAATTGGTGGTACACTTATCTATCCCATTGACCAGCTGGGACAGTTATATTATGTGATCACCCCAACAGAAGATTCATCTCTAAATTTAAAAGAGTTTGCTGTTGTAGCTCATGAGGATCCCACATCAGTAACCATCCACCTAAAAGGCACTGTAACTTTCAAAAATGAAGTTTACCATGCTGGGTCCACCTTGGTGACTGACCTCAAGGCATTCGAAGCAATTCAACTTCAAAGCACAGAAGATTTATCAGGCAGCAGAATTGAATCGACCAAACCTGTGGCTGTCTTGAGTGGACATATCTGTGCTGTCAAGTTCACAGCCTGTGATCATGTTGTTGAGCAGCTCCTGCCAGTTCAGAGCTGGGGAACCACCTTCATTGTCCCTCCTATTCCTTTCCAGACACGACATGATATTGCGTATATTGTTTCTGCAGAGAACACTGTACTCAAATATCAATCTAGCTCCAAGCAAGAATCCCGTACTCTGGTGGCTGGAGAAGTGGTTAAACTTGAGGTCCTGACCTCTCAACCACTTTTTATCTCTGCTGATGCTGGAATTCAAGTCCATCTATTTTTTACTGGTTCCAGCAGTAGAGGCTATTCCTATGACTCCTTCCTCATGAATATCCCTGCCATAACGTGCTACTGCAATTCATACCATATTTATGGAAAGAAGGGCTTCATAAATCATGCCATGATTATAGCCAAATCATCGGAAATCAGGGGCATCACAATGGAAGGCAGGATGATTGAGTGGAGACAGATCCTGGGCACCAAATATTCATGGGCTGAAGAAGATGTGGAGATAACAGATCGTGCCCTGTCAGTGGAACACAAGAAGGCTCCATTTGGACTTTTCGTCTTTGGAGGTGGTAATTCTGATGGCTATGGTACTGCTGCGCTTTGTTCTTCAGGTAAGTATCTTCATAAACTGATGCCAATATTTAAATAAATATTTTAACTGAGGTGTGTTAAAAAAACACACAGGCTGTTCACATTTATCTGCAATCATGTTTAGTCTATAGTCCTATAGTTTCTCTTCTCAGAGATCATTCTCACCCATTCCATACCTTCTCCTCTAGCTATTAAGGGAATACAAGGACAAATGCTTAATGAATGCTCTGGGGACAGTCACCCCAGATCCTGAAGTAAGGAAACCTCTTTAACTTTCAGTCCACAAAGAAGAGCATGAAATGAATCACTAAAGTCTTCCCTTTGTTAATTTATATTGTGAGCATTTCAATATGTGGTTGTTTGGTGAGAAATTTGGAATCACTAACTAGAAGATCTAAAGTTGTATCCCACCATAAACCAACGGAGCTTTCAAAGGGAAGAGGGAGTACAGGGAAGATGGGCGGCTAAGAAATATGAAGTATAAATAAATATATAAATAAATGCCAGCTCATATATGGGGACTCACTGGGAGACTATGACATCGAAAGCTCTGCTTCCAGAGGCTTCCAAATAAGAATGTAAAATAGCAATAGCATTTAGACTTATACAGTATAGTGTCACATAATGCTTTATATTACTCTCTGGGAGGTTTACAACATCAGCATATTGCCCCCAACAATCTGGGTTCTCATTTTACTGACCTGGGAAGGATGGAAGGCTGAGTCAACCTTGAGGCGATCAGGATTGAACTACTGGCAGTTGGCAGAGTTAGTCTTACAAGACTGCATTCTGCCATCGCGCCACTATGGTTCAATGTAAATCTCAGAGTAAAATGAGACGTTATTCTCAAATCCGTAAAGAGAATCCTGTGAAGCTTCAGAGCAACACAACATTCTGTTCTCTACTTGCAATTGTCCTCCCCACTAGCTTTGTGTGGTGTCTCCGTACATATTATCTTCCATCACAGCCATACTACCTCAACTGGTAGCTATGTCCATTTCGTTCCATTTTCCTCTGCCTTGAGTAGCACCCAGGAAATTTCAACTAATATACATATGTATATTTTTCCAAAGTAGTTCCAAGCTGCCCAGTCAATAGCCATTACAGAGTGTGTGCCAACCTGTGCCCCACTACTTGTGCCAAGATCAATGACCCTGATCCATGCTCAGAGACCTGTGTGACAGGATGCCAGTGTGATGCCGGCTTCTTCTTCGATGGCCTTTCCTGTGTTTCTGTGGAAAGCTGTGGCTGTTCCCAAGATGGACACAACTACGAGGTTAGTGAATATACAGATGATCCTTGACTTATGTAAAGTCATAACATTTTTGCAATTGTGTAAAGCCCAACATTTTTGTTGCTAGGCAAGGCAGTTGCTGAATGAATTGTGCACCATTTTGTGACCTTTTGCCGACTTTGTTAAGCAAATCACTGCAATTGTTAAGTGAATAATGTGGTTGTTAAGCGAATCCGGTTTCCCCCCTTGACTGGTTAGAAGTAACAAATGGTAATTGTGGGATAGTGCTTCTGTTGCCAAATGAATAAATTTTGATCATGTGACCCTGGTAGGGTTGCAGCTGTCTAAGAGTGAAAACCAATCATGTCAGGTTTTTTCCCCAAATCCGTTGCAACTTTGAACGGTCACTAGACAAACGGTTGTAAGTCAAACACTACTTGTAGTTCACAGTCATCCAGCACAAGGGATGTGTGTGATGTGTTTAGAAACCTATGATTTTCATGAGCAATTTTCTGATTTTTCTTACTAATGAACTTCCATCTAGGCTATTCTTTCACAAAAGGAAACAGTTTTAGAATTATGTTATGCAGTTGTGGTTTTAAAATATACAGAGCGGCTTAAACCACAAATGGTTCCCTCAAACACTGAATAAGAATCTGGAATATTCTATGGGTGATTATTTACATGGGGATTCCTTCTACACTGAAAGTATCTAAATCAGTGGTTCTCAACCTTCCTAATGCCGCGACCCTTTAATACAGTTCCTCATGTTGTGGTGACTCCCAACCATAAAATTATTCCTAAAACCATTGAAAATATGTGTTTTCCGATGGTCTTAGGCCAGGGGTCCCCAACCTTTTGGACCTCAGGGACCACCAAGTTCATAATTTTAAATTCCGCGGACCACTAATATGAATCCAGCGCGCCGCTTGCTGAAGCACCTGGACTCCCAGTGATGGGATGGGGTCCTTCAGGCGCTCTCCCTCCTCTCTCTCTCCCCCTCCCCCCCTCTCTCTCCCACTTTCTCTCTCATTCACTCTCTCTCTCTCTCCCTCTCTCCCCCTCTCTCTTTCTCTCTCTCCCACTCTTTCTCTCTCCCCCTCTTTCTCTCTCTCTCTCCCACTCTCTCTCTCATTCTCTCTTTCTCTCCCCCTCTCTCTTTCTCATTCTTTCTCTCTCCCCCTCTTTCTCTTTCTCTCTCCCCCACTCTCTCTTTCACTCTCTCTTTCTCTCTCCCCCTCTTTCTCTCTCTCTCCCCACTCTCTCTCTCTCATTATCTTTTTCTCCCCCTTTCTCTCTCCCTCACTCTTTCTCTCTCTTTCTCTCTCCCCCCTCTTTCTCTCTCTCTCCCACTCTTTCTCTCTCATTCTCTCTTTCTCTCTCCCCCACTCTCTCTCTCATTCTGATTCTCTCTCTCTCTGATTCTCTTTTATTTTGTCTCTCTCTCTCTCATTCTCTCTCTGATTCTCTGATTCTCTCTCTTTCATTCTCTGTCTCTTTCTGTCTCTCATTCTCTCTCACACTCTCTCTCTCTCTGATTCTCTCTGTCTCTTTCTCTCTCTCTCATTCTCTCTTTCATTCTTTGAGGAGTGCCCTTGAGGCCTCTGCTTGCTCAAGGATGTGAGGAACATCTGGTGTGGACCAAGATTATAATGAATTCGAATAAATCATATAATTAAATAAAATTTACTGTATATACCAAAGTCAATATAGGCATATGTTGTAATTCAGAAAATCTCTGTTTCTTCCCACTAGCCCCATGAGATAGTTCTGCTGAATACATGCCAGAAAAAGTGTGCCTGTGTTCCTGGTCAAGGGCTCCTATGTGAGGCCCACTCTTGTGCCGCTGATGAAACCTGCAGGCTTCAAGAGGGAGTCCAGTCCTGTGTGAAGGGTAAGGATTCATTCCTTTATGTTCACTGGCTATGTATCCTCAGTGAAAAGCAATTGTAGCTTCGGGACAATAGCCCAAGAGAGTATTTCTCAATCTATGATATGTGGACTTCAACTCCCAGAATTTTGCAGCTAGCAGTCCTGGGGAATTCTGGGTGTGGAAGTCCACACATCATGAAGTGGTCAAGGTTGAGAAACAGTGGAGCATATGAATGGCAGGCTAAGCCAGTTGTGAGGACATTTGAGAAAATGAGCATATATTATCCAGGTTTTAATTGGCTGCTCTAAAATGACTGCTATGGTAGGCAAAGCCAGCTAATATACCAAACACCAATTACCGAGTAGTAAACATTTAAAGTTGCTTCCTGCTGTCTGCCATTTTTGTTTTTTAAGATGATCAATGTGGATCTCACCAATTTCCTTTCAAGTAAAGTTGGGGCAGGAAGTGGGACTTGACTTTGCAATTTGCCAACCCTATTTTCATTTTAAAAAACAAAGAAACAAAATAGTTATGAATCTGGGCTAGGAAAAAAAGTGTGAACATTAAGGAAGGTATTCATGGGTAAATTAATGCCAACAGCCTATAATATCTAGCCAAGATTTTTCTTCAAGTCATTGTTTCTCAACTTTGGTAACTTTAAGACATGTGGACTTCAACTTCTAACTTCTGGGATTTGAAGTCCACATGCCTTGAAGTTGTGAAGTTGAGAAATGCTGCTCCAAGTCAAGTATGTGCAGTCTTCATCCGATTGAGCCCCTATACAGTATTGAGTGTTTCATCGTCCATTATAGGCCATATTCCATAATGGCTGAAATCAGAATATTATTTTCCCTTTATGGGGGCTCTAAAAGTGAACATGGAAGGAATGGATATGGTTGCGTTCCCTCCAGGAGAGACAAATGAATCTTGAATGATGTTCTTGGAGGTTCACACAATATTGACAGAGCTATATCTTTCATGAACCTCTACAATTTTCCAATGCAACATTCAGCAATCACAGAACCATTAAGGGCAAGGTGTATTCATAATTTTTAAGTCTCCTTGGTTCATATCCTGTACCTTGTTCCCCCATATTCTTCTGCTGTATGTCTCCCACACTCAGGAATGGAGTGGCAAATTGATATATTCCATGTTGCTTTTCTGGAAATCTCTCTCAACTAATGTATCTTTGCAAAAATTTTTAGATTCATTGAAGAAAGAGGATTTCAATGTTTAATTCCGATTCTATAATTTGATTTTATGGCAATCTATTGATAACCAGCATCACTTTCAATGTTTCACCCTGTCCACATGTACAAGCAGATTTATCCTCTATTAAGAGTCCTTTTCTCTTTTTCAGGAAAGTGTAATATAAGTTCCCGAGGGAAGAAATTTGTTACTGCCTTCATGCAGAATTATCTCACTGACAGAACTGATAAAAAACTTGAGCTATACTTCTCTGGATATCATCTTGCAACAAATATTGTGGTGACAACAAACAGTGGGAAAATATACAGAAACATTAATGAAGGAGAAATCATTTCCATTGAATTGCCACTGTCTTTAGAAATGGCAGGGAGTGACATCTATAATAAGGCAGTGCTGGTTGAAGCTGACCAAGACATTTTGGTCTCCTCTTCTAATTATATATCTTATACAAGTGGTGGTACATTTATCTATCCCACTGACCAGCTGGGACAGTTATATTATGTGGTCACCCCAACAGAAGAGTCATCTTATAAATTAAAAGAGTTTGCTGTTGTAGCTCATGAGAATCTCACATCAGTAACCATCCACCTAAAAGGCACCGTAACTTTCAAAAATGTAGTTTACCCTGCTGGGTCCATCTTTAGAACTGACCTCAAGGCCTTTGAAGCAATTCAACTTCAAAGCACAGAAGATTTATCAGGCAGCAGGATTGAATCGACCAAACCTGTGGCTGTCTTGAGTGGACATATCTGTGCTACAAAATTTGCAGGGGTTGACTATGTTGTGGAGCAGCTCCTGCCAGTTCCATGCTGGGGAAGCACCTTCATTGTTCCTGCTCTTCCTTTCCAGACACAGTATGATATTGCATATATTGTTTCAGCAGAGAACACATTGCTCAAATATCAGTCTAGCTCCAAGGAAGAATCCCGTACCCTCGTGGCTGGAGAAGTTCTCAAACTTGAGGTCCAGAGCTCTCAACCACTTTTTATTTCAGCTGAAGCTGGAATCCAAGTCCATCTGTTTTTTACTGGTGCTAAAAGAGGAGGCTATTTCTATGACTCCTTCCTCATGAACATCCCTGCCATAACAAGCTATTGCAATTCATACCATATTTATGGAATGAAGGACTTCACAAATTATGCCATGCTTATAGCCAAATCATCAGAATCCAGTAGGATCGCAATGGAAGGAAGGTCAATCCAGTGGACACAGATCCCAGGCACCGAATATTCATGGGCTGAAGAAGAAGTGGCGGTAACAGATCATGCCCTGTCAGTGGAACACAAGAACACTCCATTTGGACTTTTCGTCTTTGGAGGTGGTGACTATCGTGGCTATGGTATGGCTGCCGTTTGTTCTTCCAGTAAGTATCTTCATAAAATGATGGTGGTGATGGAGATGATGATGGTGATATCTATCTTTTAAAGCTAGTTGTTATTAGAATATATATTCAAAATGTTTTAAACTTTATTGGATACACATGCCGCTCATATGTATCTGGGACCACTTTCAATCCATTATCTCTTCCACTAACTTCTCTGTCCAGAAATCAAGCCAAGTTGATCTAGACTCTGTTTGCAGCTAACCAGGAGGAGAATGCAAAGAGAATAAGCATGGTGGCTCCAATCACTATACAACCTTAAGTATTAAAAAATTCCTTAATTTCTACTCTAAAGAAAAAAGGAACAAAAGAATTACTTACAGTTACACGCTCTCTTTCTCTTTCCCTCCCTCCCTCCCTCTCCTTATCAGTTCTCCTTTGTATTACCATTTCCTGAGAAAATTGGCATGGCAGATTACAAACTGAAAGGTGGTATCCCTCCATTAAATATAACATGCACTTCATACTTTGAAAATAGCAGGTCAGCATCCTTTGTCATCCAGTTTACTTTCTGGACACACTCTTTGCATCTGATGAAGGGTGCCGCAGCTCACAAAGGCTTCTGCCTTTTAATAAAATGTGTTAGGTTCCTTCTGCTTTTTTTCCTGTCACAAACTAACATATCTCTCCTCCCACAATGCAGACCGGGTGAATTTCCTTCGTACAGATGTTTTCCTCTCTTCCCAAAGCTTTAAAAGGATTTCCTTCCTATTGTCTTTCAAAATCTCACAAGGAAAGCCTGCTGCTCCTTTGATTATCCAGAATTGATGTGAATCTTTTTGTTGTTTTGCCTTAGATACATAGGGTGTTTTCTCAGTAATGAAGTGCATGTCAATAGTCACTAACTTTGTTTTAACCATGGTTTCGTTAAATAGATCCAATATCCTGCCCTGAGAACAGCCACTATGAAGCCTGTGGAAATGCCTGTCCAGCCACCTGCTCTGACCGTTCTGCTCCCAGCACCTGCAGGAACACCTGTGCACAAATCTGCCAGTGTGACGAAGGCTTTGTCCGCAGTGGTGAGAAGTGCGTTCCGGTGGACACCTGCAATTGCGTTTACCAAGGCGTGACCTATAAGGCAGGGGAAGAGTTCTGGGGAGATGAAGTCTGCCAGAGTTATTGCAAATGTGATGCTAAATTAGGCAAGGCTGTATGCCAAAAGTCTTCTTGCAAGGGCAAGACAAAATGCAGTGTGGTCAATGGTGTCCGGGGATGCCATGCTGTCAGTTACAGGACCTGCATAGGAACCGGAGACCCTCACTATACAACCTTTGATGGGAAGAAATACGATTTCATGGGAACCTGCGTTTACCAAATGGCCGGGCTCTGCTCCAAGGATCCTTCCCTTACACCATTTTTGGTCACCGTGGAGAATAACCACCGAGGCAACAAGGCAGTGTCCTACACCAAAGTGGTGACCCTGGAGATCTACAACTTTACCATCAGTTTGAGCCAAGAGTTTCCCCAAAAGATCCAGGTACATAAGCTAATCCAAGGGGGTCCTGGAATGGCTTATTAATAATAAACATAAGAGTCATTGCAAGGTTCATGTTCTCAGGCATAAGAGCTTCATAGGTGTTAAGTTCTCAGTGTTCCTTAGTTTTTGTCGCTCTATGTAGGTTTAGCTATGATTTCTCCAAACCAGGATGGGATGATAGTTGCAGATTATACAGTATACATTTAAGGGGTCAGATATATGGGACTTGCAGAGGCCAGAATATTATCATCCCCCAGTATAAATGTTGAGATAATAAAATAATTTTCTGCATGGTAGAATCCCAAGCGATCCTCCAGGTTTTCAAGACTTATTAGTCTCACACAAGACTTTTTCATGTACTAAATCGTTACAATTTGTTATGGTATGACTAGGAAATGGAGGGGTAGCAGCCATTGTTGTCGACAAAGACTGAACTGAAGAACGTATTGAAGAGGTTGGCCTTAGCAGCTTCATCGTTTACAATCTTCCCCATTAGGCCCTTTTAGGGTCAGATAGTTTTAGAGTCTTTAAGTTTGGCATTGATGAAATTATAGAAGGCTTGGAAGGAGTTTGAGTTTAGCAGTTCTTCCTCCTGTTTGCAATGCTGATTGGTAGTAAAATAATTTTCTGCATGGTAGAATCCCAAGAGATCATCCAGGTTTTCAAAACTTATTAGCCTCACGCAAGACTTTTCATGAGAAAAGCAAAACTGCATATGCTTTCATGGAACTCCCCCAAGAACTCAGTCTAAACAGACTGCTGGCTTCTGATTTAGGGAGGTGACACCCAGCATATTTTCCTTTCTGCAGCTCTTCCAGTCAGAGACCTACTGAAAATATTAGTTAGGAAGTATATTAGCAATGTATTTCATAATTAATACTACTAGTGTCAAGCCTTTTACAGTGGCTCATAATCAAGAAATCAAGATTCAAAACTTGAAAATAGGCAGGTATATTGGGAATAAAAGATGGAATGGGGTTAGGATACAGAATCCCAAACACTAGGCATGTACACAGTACTTTGAGTCTTATTTCTTAGTGAAGACATTAAAGGCAAGACCTCCCTATTGTTTTTGATCCAGTTCCCAACAGAATATTGGTTTCAGGGGAAGGAAGGAAGTCACTTATTTGATATCATAAAATATCTGTTTATGTTCTGCAGTATCTTAGAAACGTCTACAGAATGTTTGTTCTTAAGCTCAGAGAATTTTATGAGAACTAGTGAGGAAATTATTTCAGTTATCAATAACCTAGTGTTTTAATTGTTTTTTGTAATATTTACAACTTATTTTATTTGTTATAGTGTTTCATCTTCTAGTGCCAAATTTAAATTACATCTGCAATTTTCTATTTGGTTTTTTTTTGGTTATATATAAATTTATTGTTATTATATACAGTAGCACTATTTAATAAATTATACATACCCTTGATAGATTTCTTACTTTGCTTATTTGTCAAACAGCCCATGGAGTGGAATAGGGGAGACGATTAGTTTGAAAGATAACAAGAACAAATCTACTCTTAAGATTGAAAGAATTGTTAGTGCATTGACTATTTTTTTCTGTATCTTAATTCAGGTCAATGGCATCTTTGTGGAACTACCCTTTTCGTATGAAAACAAACTGAGCATCTACCAGAGTGGAGTTCACGGCTTCATCAAGACAGACTTTGATCTGAGTGTCAGCTTTGACTGGTACAGCTATGCCAGGGTCATTGTTCCGGACTCTTATGCCAATGCACTCTGTGGCCTCTGTGGTAATGCCAATGAAGATCAAAATGATGACTTTCTCATGAAAGATGGAACACAAGCAGAGGATGAAATTCAATTTGCAAATAACTGGAAGTGAACAATATTCCTGGCTGCTCTTCTGGGTGCACCAAAAATTGCCCAGTGTGCAGTGATGCTGATAAACAAACCTACCAAGGTCCATCCTACTGTGGGATTCTTACAAGAAAGAGTGGGCCTTTCAGGCAATGCCATGATGCCATTGATCCTCAGTCTTATTTTGATGATTGTGTCTACGATACCTGCGTATACCAAGGTCACCATGATGCCCTTTGTAGTGCCATCAGCTCCTACGTGACAGCATGTCAAGCTCAAGGCATCCAAGTTGAGGAGTGGAGATCACCCTCCTTCTGCAGTAAGTCTTCTCTCCTGCATTCAACGTTTACTTGGCATAAGAGATGAAAGAGAGCCTAAATCCAGGAATAGAAATGGGAATCATTTGATGAAGAGCCCCATTTATATCACAGTAGCCTTCCTCAACTTGGTGCCCCCCAGATATGTTGAAGCCCAACACATCTGAAATGGTGGCAGGTTCAGCAAGGCAATATTCCAAGATCTGGGGAATCCAGGATCTGTGATAAACTGAAATCACCAGCCTGAACTGGAAAAAGGAAAGAGGCCCAACATTAAAATATTAGAAATATTAGAAGAGCAATCTTTTCCCTAAATATATTAAGTCCCAGAGTGGTTGTGAATTAACAATGCAACCTGAATGCAACTTTACGGAACAGAAAATATTTATATTTATCAGAGTTTAAACCCAGTATTAATTCCCCCACCCATTTTTTCTGTATTTACTGCAGAAATAATTCTACAATATACATCTTGAACTCTGACCTATTGTTCGTGGATATATTGCTTCAGTTCAACGCCTGGAGGATTTTTAAAGATGGATGCAACTATAGTTACTGTGGTTGTAATAAATATTGATTTCCTATAGCAAATTAATGGGAGATAGGTAGAACAAGTTTAGTTTAGATTCAACCTTATACAGAAGTTTAAATGGCTAGTATCAGAACCACTGGATCAACATAAAATTCCTTGTCTTGTCCAATGAAAGTTTCACTTTCCCTTTGGCTCTACACTTTCGATGAATTCATTCCGAGGAATACATTTGTTTTAATATTCACAGACATTTTCATGCATACTCCTCTCCATAGGTACTCCCTTTTGGCTTACTTTTCCTAGTGTGTACATTTTCTGAATAAAATATTTCATAGGAAGAGATCAGACTTCCTCAAAGCTGGAATTTCAAGCCAGCATTACCAATGGGTGTCTAGATTATTAAATAATGCAAGGATGAAGAATAACAGAATAACAATGTTGGAGTCTTAGGTCCAACCACTTGCTCAGGCAGGAAATCCTATAATATTCTAGACAAGTGGTTGTCTAGTTTCTTCTTAAAAACCTCCAGTGATGGAGCATCTACAACTTCTGAAGGCAAGCTGTTCCACTGGTTAATTGTTCTCATTGTTAGGAAATTTCTCCTTAGTTCTATGTTGATTCTCTCCTTCAGTAGTTTCCATCCATTGTTTCTTATCTTGCCTTCTGGTGCTTTGGAAAACCCCCTCTTCTTTGTGATACTTTGACAAGCAACATTCTCTTTATTCTGTTTTTCAGGTATTTCTTGCCCACCTAATACCCACTATGAGCTCTGTGGCAGTGGTTGTCCATCCACATGCAAGAGCCTCATCTCACCGCAGAAGTGTGATGTTCCATGCCTGGAAGGATGTTTTTGTGACTCTGGATCTATCCGCAGTGGGGATCAGTGTGTTCCAAAAGCCAAATGTGGCTGTTTTGATCAAGGCCGATACTACAAGCTGGGAGAAGAGTTTTATCCCACCACTTCCTGCCAGAAAAAGTGCATCTGCATGGCTAACGCAACCATAGAGTGTCAAAAGTTCTCTTGTGGAGCTCATGAGGAATGCAAGATTGTAAAGGGCGTTCAAGGCTGCCACCCCTTAGGTTATGGAAAGGCCATTGCACTGGGTGACTCTCATTTCATTTCCTTTGATGGAAGGCATTTTGAACTCTACGGCTCCTGTACTTACACCTTAGCTCAAGTCTGCCAGCACAACCCTCAGCTCCAGAACTTCACTGTGTGGATAGAGAATGAGAAGCTTAGTGATGGTCCTTTAGTTCTAATCCGGAATGTGAAGGTCTTCATTCATGGTTACACAGTTACCCTTCAGAGGGGAGTAAAGTGGCAGGCAATGGTAGGTGAAAGAGCTTATAACTAGGAGGTTTATCTTATGGGTTTTCGTTATCATATTTGGGGAAAAGGCTTTGAATCCTAGGGCCAGCAAACTGTTTGGAGAATAGGAGCTACACTCCTCCCCATACATTTTATTTGGGCCTTGTATAACTGCAGAGAACATGGAAATATTGCAGGGATAGCTCCCAAATGAATGGAAGCTGAAAACTCTGTCTGTTTGTTTTCTTTTAATAAAATAGGTGCATTAAATTTATTAGAGGCTTAATGCATCACAATCAATCAGATTTTACATTCAGCAGTGATGTTATGGTTTTAATCTCAGAAGATTTTAAAAAAAATAGGAGGGGGAAGATCTGGGAGTTGAATGCATGCTTTCTACTTCTGGTGACTTTGCTATGTAGACTGAGTGCAAGATCATAAGAGAAGCCACATTTTATTCTTTTCCCAGGCTTGTGAAAAGGGAAAAAAAAGATGTTAATTACTGCTATGAAGCAATGTAAAACAAGCATTAAATTGTATGCATGTAAAACCAGCGCTTATCCCCAATTTTTATTCTTTGTTGCTACAGGTGGATGGACAGTTGTATACCCTGCCAATGAATGTGGCTGATGGGAAATTCTGGATCACCCAAGAAGGGAACAACATCATCATCTACACAACCTTTGGCCTCACGGTCTTATATGATACTTCTTCATATGTTCAGGTTTCTGTCCCCAGTACTTACAGGGGTCATATGTGTGGCCTGGCTGGCAATTTCAATGGTGATCCGAAGGATGACTTCATGCTACCTAATGGAAAACTCACTGAAAACGTGGAAGAATTTGCGGCTTCTTGGAAGGTCCCCGTGAATGGTGTAATTTGTTCTGATGGCTGCGGGGACAGATGTCCCATCTGCAACAAAGCCCAAAAAACAAAATATGAAGCTGGGAACTTCTGTGGAATGATCCCATCCAAGACAGGTCCATTCATAGACTGCCATTCATTGGTGAACCCTGCAGAATATTTTGAACACTGTTTGAATGAGGCCTGTACAACCCATGAGGTTCAAGAATCCCTTTGTCGAAGTCTTCAAGCCTATGTAGCAGCTTGCCAGGCATCTGGTGCCAAAATTAGAGCCTGGAGAAGCTCTTCCTTCTGCCGTAAGTTTGTAGGAAGTTACTTTCCATAAATAGCCAAATCTCTGCCTCAAATGTCTTAGTCTGTCCTCCTATGCCTTGCCTTACTATTTTTATTAATGGCTGCATCTATCCAGTTCACAGCCATTTATAACCTAAAATCCTCTGGTGTTTAACCAAGCTTGGATGCATCCTGCTTCAAAGAGATTCCAGAGTTGTTTCAGCAATTACTGTGTTTCCCCAAAAGTAACACCTATTCCAAAAATAAGCCCTATCATGTATTTTGTGTGTGCGCCGAATATAAGCCCTATCCCCAAAATAAGGAAATCTTAAGCACCTGTGCAGCCAGCTTGTGGTGTCATGGCCGCGAGACCTCCTGCCCCACAACGAGGAAGCAGAAGAAGTGGGCCTGCGATGTACTCTTAAAGTAAATGGGAAAAAAACTAAGACATCCCCCAAAATAAGCCCTAGTGCTTATTTTGGAGCCCAAAAGAAAATAAGTTTGGGTCTTATTTTCAGGGAAACACAGGTACTTGTTCCAAGAATCCTCACCTTTATTGCCTAGTTGCTCATTAATCTTTCAATATTGTACTCAGGTTCTTTGTTGTGTCATTCGTCCCAATGTGAAGGAGGAGGGAAGAATAGTCATCTGTGGGCCTAATTGTTTTGGTTAGGGTCTCAGCCACATCTTTGATTTTTGCTCCCTAAATTGTACTTTCCTCCCCTGGAAGACGTGATTGTGAGTCATTAGCACTTCAATAGAGCCGAGCTTCTCAACTTGGGCAATTTTAGGAGATGTGGACTTCTCTTCCTGGAATTCCCTAGCCATTTTAATCTGTTTGCTTCTTCTGTTTTCCACAGCTCTCACCTGTCCGGCCCACAGCCACTATGAGCCATGTACCAGAACTTGTGATTCCACCTGTGCCGCCTTATCTAGTCCAAGTCAGTGCTCAGGGAACTGCTTTGAAGGCTGTCAGTGTGATGAGGACTATGTCTTTGATGGATCTCAATGTGTAACCATGAAGCAATGTGGCTGCACTTATCGCGGAGCCTACCTCAAGGTAATTTCTCTCTCCCTCGATGTGGCTGAGAGCAGAAAGGGGCTTTTTCTGATGAGATGGCCACTAGGAACGATTCCTGACAGACTACAGACTTACAACAGTGTGTTTAGTGACCATTCAAAGTTACAAAGGCACTGAACAAAGTGACTTATGACTATTTTTCACAGTTAGGACCTTTGCAGCATCCCCATGGTCATGTGACCAGCATTCAAATGTTTAGCAACTGGTTCATATTTATGACGGTTGCAGTGTCCTGGGGTCATGCGATCACTTTCCCCAACCTTTTGACAAGCCAAGTCAATGGGGAAGTTAGATTCTTTTATTTTATTTCATTTCATTTCATTTCATTTCATTTCATTTCATTTCATTTCATTTCATTGTTTTGTTTTGTTTTGTTTTGTTTTGTTTTGTTTTATTTTGTTTTATTTTATTTTTCAAAGTTTTGAAACCATCCATCTATCCTCATCTACCCAGGACTATCAAACAGTAGCTATCATCTTAACTCTTCTCACCTCTTTGTCGGTGCCCCTGGTTATGGGACCTGCAACATGAATTTATGTCTACAATTACAGTAATTTAAAAATTGGTGGTAGGGAGAGAAGGCTTTTCTTTTCTTATTGTATCTGACTCTGGGACTTTGCTCAACAGATTGGTGAACGCATTTACTCAAAGG